TATTTCAAGTAATATAAAATAAAATGTTAGAATAAAAATCTTATAGGTATAAAAGAAATATTTCAGCGAAAAAATTATTCTTAAAAATTATTCGAAAAACTTTTGACGTTTTATTTTTCAGCAGCTGCTCTAGAGTTAACTTTTAACATAAAAGCGATCGTTATTATTTAAGTAATTTTTTTGAGTTACTTTTTACAAAAATTTTAATAACTGTACTTTTTTATTGAATCAAGTAGAATACGTTTTAATAATAATCCTTTTTTTTTTTTTATTTGCGCTCACCAATTTTTAATATGTTTCCTCGAAATTACTCTTAAATACTTTAAATACGTCTAGCAGTTAATAAATATTTTTATATCTTTTTTTTTAAACCTAACAAACCCCCGTAAAATAATTATTTAAGTTTAAAATCTAAAACTAAAAGAAAGTATTTTTGTTCAATTTTATCGACAACTTTGCTGTTGCTGAATAATTTTATTAAAATGTTAGCTTAAAAGATTTATAATTTTTTTTAATCTGAATTTTTTCTTTTTCTTCTTCTAATAATGAGCATATTTAATTTTTTTTTTCAATTCAAACCTTTATTTCAACTGCGTGCGGTTTTTAAAATACTTTATTAAATGTTAAAATAATCGTAAATTACTTCATTAAAATTCCGCTCAAAAATATCTTTAAATATACTCAAACAAAAAATTTTTTGCTCGACGCAAATAGCCCTAGCTACACGCAAAATCGCTCTTGGACGACGTAAAATTCACATCGCCCGACGCTTTATCGCAAGGCCTGATATATGTATATATATATATATATATGTATATATATATATATATATATATATATATATATATATATATATATATATATATATATATATATATATATATATATATATATATATATACACATATATATTCTTATAAGGTTAAGCATGAAACTTGAGATTTTTTGCATTATTTAGTTTAAATCTACCTCTTCTCAACCATATATAGGAATTACTATTTACTACTTTATATACTATTTATATGGCTTTACTTATATATTTTATTTTTCAAAGTTTCAGAAAAAATTTATATTCTAACTTGCTGAAATAAAAAAATTTTAGTAGATAGAACTGCACTGTTCTCTAATAATCCAGAAGAAGGTTTTAAACAACGTAAAAGTTCAGATAAACTTAATGTTTTGAAAAAAAAAGTTTGCATATGGAGATATCCAATACATCACTTTTGTATACATGAGTTTCATCTTTAAAGTTTGTATGATATATATTATTACAATATTTATTTTAAATTGTCATAAACATTTTCAATGTTTCTTATACATTGTTTCTTTTTAGATAAAACAGTTATCATTAATTGGCGATAAAAATCTAGCTGATACAATTAAAAATATTTTGCTCTTGTAAGTAATTAGCAAAAGTTTGAGTTTTAACATTTATGATTGACAGTAGAGCATTTATCTTCTTTTTTATATATGTAGACTGCCAACAGACACTATTTTGTCAGAATACAGCATGAATTGTCTAAAGAAGAAAAAAAGTTTAAAGAGTTGACAAGTCTATGTAACGCTGTCACTGGTATTCTTATTAGCTTATTGTGTTTGATTAATTAAGAATTAAAAATGATGTTTTAAAAAAAAAAAAATTTTTAGGCTCTGGAACATGACATGTATTCAAGTGTATGTATAACATATATATTTTATTTTATGATTTTATTGAAACATGTTTTGTTGTTTTTATTAGAAGCTGCTTTAAAGTCAAATAAAAACTTAACCAAAATGGATGCTATCCAACTTATTGGGAGAGTAGTTAGGCATTCTTCTGACTGAATAAAGAAAACATCGACTAATATGGATTTCGATCAATGTTTGCTTAATTAACTGTTGTATTTTTTTTCCATTTTTAAGCAATTTTCTTCTATTTATAATGCACTATCGATTATATTCTACAGTACCTATTAGTTTTTAATTTGAAAAATTTAACTTTTTTGTTTGAAAAATTATTCTTAATTTTTATAAAGTTATTAATTTATTTTAAATATATCAAATTACACTTTATTTACATTGATTTCCTTTTATAACTTCCCTTGCCTAGATTAAGGCAAATCTAAGGTGTGTGTTGTAAATCATTGCATTTTTATATAACTTTTAAAAAAATGTCTTGGTAAAATTCAAACGTCTCTAGGACGTCTGAAAAAGACGTCCTTAAGTCATTCATATGAGACCAGCCAGAGACGTCTCTAGAACGTCTTCAAAAAACGTCTCTAGGACGTCTTTAAAAAACGTCTTATGGACGTCCGGAATGGACGTCCTCAAGCCTTTCATTTGAGACCAACTAAGGATGTCTTACGGACGAGACTTAAGACGTCTTACGGACGTTCTTAGGACGTCAAAATGCCCGCTGGGTACTGAAGAAACGATTAATGCTGTGCATGACATGGTTATGGATGATAGACGATTGACCAAACGTGAAATTGCTGAGGCTGTGGGCATCTCAGATGAACGGGTATTACACATCTTGCACGATGAATTACGTCTGAGAAAGCTGTTGGCAAGATGGGTGCCGCATTCGCTAACTCTGGATCAGAAACGCACTCGAGTAAAACTTTCTCAAGAACATTTGGCCCGTTTTCAAAAGAATAAAACAGATTTTGTACGTCGATTCGTAACCATGGATGAGACTTGGGTTTACCACTATGATCCGAAGCTGCGACAACAAACTGCAGAGTGGACAGAACCCGGTTGTTCAGCTCCGAAGCAAGTGAAGGCGTCAAAATCGTCAAAGAAGGTTATGGCATCAGTTTTTTGGGATGCGAAAGGAATTTTATTAATAGATTACCTTCAAACCGGTAAAACGATAACAGGTGAATATTATAAAAATCTTTTGGACCAGTTGGATAAAAAAATTCGTGAGAAAAGACCTGGTTTGCTGCATAAAAACATCATTTATCACCAGGACAACGCACCTGCTCATATCAGCGATGTTGCAAAGGCGAAATTGGTCGAATTAAAGTACGAACGCTTGGAACATCCACCCTATTCACCAGATCTGGCTCCGTCCGACTTCCACCTCTTTCCACATCTCAAAAAATTTCTACGTGGAAAGCGTTTCTCATCACATGAAGAAGTCATTGCAGCCGTAAATGGGTATTTTGAAAGCCTTCCGGAATCGCACTTCAGAGATGGGATACATGAATTGGAGAATCGTTGGAAAAAGTGTATTGCTCTTAAGGGAGAATATACTGAAGAATAAAGTCATTTTTTGAATCATAAAATTGTTTTTTCATTTACGCTCCGCGAACTTTTCAACCAACCTAGTATATATATATATATATATATATATATATATATATATATATATATATATATATATATATATATATATATATATATATATATATATATATATATATATATATATATAATATATATATATATATATATATATATATATATATATATATATACTAAAATTTTAAATTTCATACTATAATCTTATGTCATTTAAAAATTATGGCCATATAACTTTTGCAACTCCCTCAAATTGAGAGGGTTTCAAACTTTAAATGCTCATAATTTTTAAAGACTGATAGATTATACTATGAAAGTTGAACTTATCCACAAATATGATTTTAGTTCAAAATAATTTAAAAAAATATTTTATCAAGTTGTTCCTCTCACGTATAGGGCAAGGAAGGTCAAAAAATTTGAGGCTTTTTTGTTCCCAGGCTCCAATTATCGCAAAACATTCTTATTTAACATAAGTATAGACATTCTTATTTCATATAAGTTTAGAGTTTGCTCCACGATTGGAAGTTCTTAATCCCAAACGCCATAAAATGCTAGATCCGCCCCTGACATATCTATCACTTTTTTTAGTTTTTTTCTTTGAGTGCTGTTAATTAACTCCTTATCGCCAGAGTTAGTATCTGCATCTATATTAGAACTAAAACTTATGATTTTAGGCCTACTTTTTCTAAGCAAAAAGAATTCCAAAAAAAATTATAAAAATTTTGTCTCTTAAATGGTTTAGTTAATATAAAAGTAGTTCCCACATTTCCATAATTAACCATGTTTCTTTTGTTTCTTTTGTTTCTCTAATCAATTAAAAATTAAACCTCAAGTACTGGTACCTTTGATTTTTTGAGCAACTGCAATTACTTAGATTAATAAAATGACATGTTGCAATGTCAAACAAAATTATACTTTCCAGCCTAGCAAATGACACAGCCAAAACCATTCATCTTTTCTTCTAATTTTTACAGTTAAAATGCTAGTTTTCAATCATATGTAACATTTTCAGAAACTTAAGAAACTATAGTGTACGATTCGTTAGTTTTGGAAAGTTGTAATTGAAAAAAAGGATAGTGCTGCATGGTTTTCTTAACAGTTGAAAGTTCACTTTCTATGCCATGAACGGGACAAGTTAGCTGCGTCGTTCTAACTACCATATTTGCAATATAGGTTTTTTTATAAACTTAATCAGCAAAACAAAATTCTAGAAATGAATTTAAATTCAATAAATCATAAAGAGATGAACTTATCATCAAATTTCGTTTATCTATATGAAGAGCTCATCTGCAAAACGTCACAATCTGTAAAACGTCACATAAATAAAAGTACTGAGATGATTCCATTTTTAAATTCTATATGCTGAAATCTATTATAAATTCTATATGCTGAAATATATATATATATATATATATATATATATATATATATATATATATATATATATATATATATATATATATATATATATATATATAATATACCACTATATTAATTTTTAATATTTAAAAATTTGTACAACTACATAGTTTTTACAAGTTTCTCAATATATACTACTTTTATAATAAATACATTCCAAAATAATTCTAATATTATTAAAATAACAATAAGATATATATGATATACAAAATAAAATAGTATAAAAAATTAATATATTTTTATTTGACATATTTTTGATTTTTTAATTAATCATAAGATATTTAAAAGTTTCCATATTATTGTTTTTATCTATAATGAGTTTTTTTAGATTGCATTTTAAGGAATTTATATTTTTCAGAAGAGATCATATTTCCAGAAGAGTTGTCAGGTAAGGACCACAATGTGCTATAAAGAATTAATATAATTTTCTTTTTTTCAAGAGTACTCGGGGCTGACATGGGTTTTGAAGTGGAGGGGCACAATCGTTAATTTCTTAAAAACCTCTATATGTAGAAATTTAAAAAAAAAAAAAAGTCTCTCAGAAAAAAGGGGGTGGTGGTGGTCAGTGCGTCCTAACCCTCTTGGTGTTGTTGGCTCTTGTACTATATAGTTTCCAGTTGCTCTTGTGCTAAATTTATTTATATTAGTTTTCAAAAAAATATTTATATAAAATATTTTTTTTTTAATAATTATTAATGTACTCTCAGAAGTCCTAACGGTCTTACCATAGAGTACTGCGAAAAAGCATTTAACAAGAATGTTCATGCCTTCTTCCTTAGCAATGGCGCTTATTGGGCAAAGCCAACGTCGAACCTCGGACCTCAGGGTTTTGAGCCAGAACTCAACCACTGCTCCATGATTGGTCTAAAAAACTACTTGTTTACAGAATGGATAATGAAAAAGTTGTTTCTAAATAAGGTTAAAATTATTTTTCAGAAAAAAATTAAGAACTTATGATCAAATTGATACTGAAATAATAATAAAAAACCTACTAAGTTTAAGGCCACCGAACACCAAATTAATCTTTATTATCCAATGGTAACAACTTGTGGCTGTTCAAAGTAAATTTAATATTTTTATAATAAAAAATAGTAATTCGCTTGGGATAAAAAAAAATGTCTAAATGCACAATTATGGCAATATAATATGTTCTAGCAGCAAAAAAAGAAAAACACAAAACAAAAAAAATTCCAAAACTTCTTTTACCATCTACTTGATATCATCCATGAATACTATTCAAAGTTAAACTATATAATCAAATTATTAAATATTTAAATACTTAAAGATAAACAAAAATATAGTGATTAAGGCCCTCAGGAGGAAAAGATAGACACCAAAAATTGTAAAAATATCCAACTACTTAATATCTAGGGGCATCAATTTATAACTTATACATATATATATATATATATATATATATATATATATATATATATATATATATATATATATATATATATATATATATATATATATATACTCGCTCATGGAAGTTAAAATAACAGATTAAGCTATAACATTAAGCTATAACTCATATTAAAAGGCTTTATGTTTATATGAAAATAAATCAAATTAAACAAAATTTACATCAAAAAATCCTAAATAATATTGTTTTAAGGTGATTAGTTCATTTATGTGAGAATCTTACCTGTCTAAACTAATAAATAGATATTCCTGTAAGAACCAGAATTTAAGTATTTTAACACCTGATAGTATCTCTTTAGTTTACTGTGTTATATCCAGATATAGATTTTTTTGTGAGTTAGTGAACATTTGTAAGTGCAGGATTTAAAGGTAATATATTAAATATTTTTAGTTTAACTTCAAAATTCAAAGGTTAGTTTTTTAATATTTTCAGTGTAATTTTAAAATTATAAAGCAAAATATTTCTCAAGACTCGGGGACAAGCCAATAAGTATAGAAAAATGAGCAGCAATACTTTGTTTCAAGAAGGAATGCTGTTAGAAAAATAGAAGAAAAATTATATCTGACGGTTAGTTACACAATTCGTTGACACAAAGAAACTGCAAGATTTGAAGATAGAAGTCGAAGAGGTCCTTCTCGTATAACAACAAATACTGATGACCAGCAAATAAAAAACATCAGTAAACGTAATTGGTTATAAATTCGCATGGTCGTGTTGCTGTCCGAAAACCATGTTTGCGTAAAGGTAATTGGCAAAAAAAGATTTTGCAAATTTTACAACAATTGGATGATGGATAATTGGAAACGTACTCTGAACAAATAAAATCAAAATATGAAGTTTTCGGAAATAAGAGAAGAGTTTATGTTAGAAGATTTGCTGAAAAAGAAATGTTAAGTCAATGTCTCGTTCAAGCATGGTGGGGGCTCAATTTGCATAAAATTTATGGTATTATGAGAAAAGAACACTACAGAGATTCTTTCCGGACTTTGATTAATCGGTGACTATTTTATTCTGATGCATAATAATGACCCTAAACATACTCTATTATTATGTAAAAATTATTTAGAGTCAAAAAAGGATGAAAATTTGTTACATGTTACGACCTGGCCTCCAGTCCAAACCTCAACCTTTTTGAGTTATTATGGCATGAACTGAAAAAAAAGGTAGAATAGAATGTCGAACATCAAAAACCCAATTATGGAACATTTCAGAAAAAGAATGGAATAATATTCACATAGCAATAATTTATTTAATAAATTAATTAAAGGAATCCCTAGAATAGTAATGGCAGTGATAAAAACAAATTTTTTTTTTTTGGACGAAAACAAGATTTAATTTGATAATTATTTTTTTTAAGTTATTTATTTTTTTTAATTTATAAGTTATTTTTTTTTATTTATTAATTATTATTTTTATTTATTAATTATTTTTTTTAATTTAACGTTATGAAATGTGTTTATTATGCTTAAAATATTACAATAAACATGAAATAAATGGATTTTAAATGTAAAAATAAACTACGACGTTTGTTTTGTTCATTTTAAAAAAGTATTTTAAGCAGCCTCCTCCGTTTGAAGTTTAATGCCAACGCGCGAAAGAGCGCTTGCAGGATGGTCCTATTTAAGTTAGCCTGCGCGATTTAAAAAATTCATTATTTTCTGCTATTTAAATAGAAATAAAAATAGCGAACAGAATGTTTCGAATAAATATACTAGATGAAATAATTTAAAAAAAAACTGCGAAAAAAAAGCCATTTTTCATAAAAGACGCACAAATGAACAGTTTTGTTCCAATATAAAACAAAACACTTTTAGTTTTTTGGCGAGCGCTTTTTTATGCGCTCGCCAAAGTTTTTGCGGGCGTGTGGGCAAGCGCAAAACGACTTGAGCGCGAAAGCGCTGGCTAAACGGAGAAGACTGTTTAAGAGTCCTAACTTCCATGAGCGGCCATTATTATTATTATTATTATTATTATTATTATTATTATTATTATTATTATTATTATTATTATTATTATTATTATTATTATTATTATTATTATTATTATTATTATTATACGATATATACGATATTATACGATAATATACGATATTATACAATATATAATAAAATTTTAACAACTAAAATTTTACTTCTTACTTTATTATTATTACATTGCACTTTATTATTATTATTAGTTTTTCCTTTAAGTTTTGTACTGTTTACGTTTTTTTAGTTTTTCATTATCGTGTTAACTTAAGTACTTGTACTATATGAAAATATTCCATGAAATGTAATATCTGTTTCAGAATACATTTGATTTGATTTATATTTAAAATTGTAAAAATTCATCTTTATAGAATTAAATTTTTGTTTTTTTAGTAAAAAGTTTTTATTATGACATAAATTTTTATTTTTGAATGAAGTCTATTTTTAAAAATAGGAATTGCGGTTTCTAATTGGGTTTACCACGGACTTATTAAGGTTTACTACGCCTACATATAAAAAGACTCCGAAAATCGAGTCTTTCAACTTTAGCTTAAATAAAAAGAATTTTAACAAATTCACATATTTAACAGAAGTGTTTGCTTAATGTAAATAAATACCTATATATAATAAAGAATATAATAAGTACCTATTTGGACTGATTTTATTTTTACCGTTCCAAATGACATTTATGATGCAGATGTGAGAAACTCGTTAAAAAAAAACCTGCTTTCATATCTCAGTTAGTAGATTCAAATAAGCATTCAGAATTTTGTAATGAAAACTTTTAAAAGAAATTTTTGTGTTTTAAATTTTGTATAAATGACATTTATTTGAATAATTTCTCAAGAATTTTTTCAAACATTCAAGTTGTAATGACTTTGTTAGAGTAAATAACGTTGAATAAATATATAACTGTTTATATGTTTATAATAATGTTTATAATAAATTTATATCTGTTTATATGTTTCATTCTTAAAAAAAAAAATCAAATCTGTATCAGTATGTAAAGATACTTTAACTTTTAAACGTAAAAAATGAATTGAGCAACTCAAGTAATTTTATTTTGATTGTTTAATTTGTTACTCATTGTTTTAAAAAGTATTTTAATCTATTAAACTTGTTAGTTCTCGGGCGCCGATGGTGACAAAAACTAATGTTGTTATTGCAGCGTCACTTTTTGTTGGTCGCCTTATTTGCGGTGTTTTAAAGATATTATTACTATACCTATGTTATATTTATGATACAAATAATATATACAAATGTGCAGCCCAACATTAAAATAGTCTTCATTGAACCAAGGAGGTATAATAGCTTAGCTGGAGGGAAACGAAGTTGAAAATGGATTTAAATCGCGTTACAGTCTCTGTAATATAATTACTCCAGTAGAAAGTCAAAATAGCGCCTTTGCAAAAAAATGAAAGTTTTTTAAATGTAAATCAGTAAGCTTTGAGACTTGTAATCGAAATGGATTAATAAAATAAAACTTTGTTGGATATGTTTTTAACAACTATTCGATCAATCAACAAGTTAATTAAAACAAAAATCACGATTAACGTGAAGTAATTGTTTCTTGCGTAGGGTAAAGCGGGGTAATAAGATCAGCGGGTCATAAAGATCTTTTTTAGCAGAGCTAAATTTAAATTCTTTTATGCAATTGTGTAAATAATAGTTTACTAAATTTTACATGATACATGATTACTTAGTACGTAAGAGAGTAGTTTAAAACATTTCTTCGACTAACAACTAATTTTTTACCATTAATAATTAGGTTTTCAATATCGATGTTTTTTACGGCAGTTTTTAATTTTGTTCGAAGTTTATGAAAAACTTTGCCGAAATCGGTGCTCCTCAGTTTTTAATTAAAAAGGCTATTCCAAGTTGTTTGTTTTTATTTTTCTTGAAAGTAAAGTAGTATCTAAGCTTATTACGTAATTTTTTAAAGTTACACATTCTACCCAGCCGGCATTATTACGTTGTTTCAACTTTGAAATTCAGTTGAAGCGTTGTTTCAACGTTGTCACAACGTTAAATCAACGTTACAGTTTAAAAGTTGATTATTTAACGTTATTTCAACGTCATTATTTCAATCATTGTTGACAAAAAATACAATATAAAATTTATGCGCGCGCAGAAATGGAAGTAAAAACGTAAACATTATTTTAGGCTAACGGTCTTCAAAATAAGATTTTGAATTTTACAAAAATCGCAGACCTAGAATACTTTTGACGGTTGATACGCATGCGCTTTAAGTGTATCTTATTCTGAATTATACGAACGACCGCTAGCCAAAATCTTATTTTGAATTCTGGAACAGAACCCTCCGAATTGTACTAAAACGAGCTTCGCTCTACAAAATTTTGTAATACTCTTTAGATTAAAATGAGTGAAGATAATTCTTCTCTAAATTTTGAGCATTTATTAGGTATGAAGTTTTTCTTTACTTATCATATACTTATTTCTTTTCAATCTTTTTTTTTTTTATAATTAAAAGTGTATTATAAATGTTTACCAAGTTTAGAATGTAAATTTAGAACATTGCTCTTGAAATAAATTTATTTACTGAAATATGTATGCAACTATTTATTTTAATCAAATATTTACCAAGTTTTGAAAGTATACTTTAGTTTTTTGAATGAAATTTATAAATTAATATAATAAAAATTCATTCAAAAAAACCATTTTGTATGTTGTATACTAGATAATATACTTGATAACCTGGTAAATATAGCTTTGTTTGTTTGTTTAAAAATAAGTGCACAGCAAATTGATGCACAACCAAACACTGCTGAAGCTTTAAATCCGGCTGCTGCGACAGAAAATAAGTACATATTGGCAACATATGCAAATGTAAGAATAATAGAGCAAAATGTTTCACAGAGTGCATTGTGTTGTAACTTTCAATTTAGAAATGGAAAAAATAATGAAGGTTTGCAATGTTAAATAATTTTTTTTAATGTTTTTTACAATACTAGCTTTTTAAATTACTGCATGCGAAGTAAACATTTTTATAGAAGAGAGTGTTCCTAATGAAAAATATGTCCAAAATGATATAAGGCATATGCTATATATCTAATATCATTTTGGTGTTATGTTATTTATTTAAAAAAGATTCTGTATAGAATGTTTTTTATATTTCTTATATGAAATTTTTTGCTGTTTGTTATTAAATTTCATGACAAATTAAAATTATTCTTTAAATTTAATTGAAATCCTTATTTTTGCCCTTCTTTTTAACTAGTGATTACACTGGCTGAGCTAAATTTGTGTTCTGTTTTAACCATGCTAAACATAAAATAACAATCATGATTTATACCTTCAGGGAAAGTCAAAGCAAAAGTGTCTTTTTTAACTGGTTTAGTAAAAATCAGGGAATTTACTTAGTGGTCAGGGAAAACTGTTGCTTTTTTCTTAGTGACTCAGAGAATAATAAAACATTTCTAGTTCTAAATTTCTTTTTTTTTTTTTTTTTTTTTTTTTTTATAACTTATGATTGTAATAAATTGTAAATGTTTTTTAGGATTTGTCAATGAAATCTTGAAATGTCAAATCTTGATTAAGTTTAATCATTTTATTAAGTGTTTTATTTTATTAAGTGTTTAATGTTTTTTAATTTTTTTTTTATATATAAGTTTTAATAATCTACTACCTAATGTTTGTTGACTGACTTGGCAAAAACAAATTCAATGTTAGTTATGGAATTGCACCTTACTACAGGGACTTTTTAAAAATACAAGTCTGTGCATCAGGCTGTTGCCATCAGGCTGGCTGTTTGTTATGTTGAAAGTTTGAACAAAGTTATTCAAATAGTGTATCTGGTTTGGATTTATCTAAACAAGTACAACTGTCATCAAAGAACAGATGATCCTATGTTGTCTTTTCTTGGCAAGGACCTAGAGATGCTTCATAGATCCCTAATTCAGTTGGTTGTTTAAACTGATATTTTCCTTAAATGTTATTCTGTTCTTAACTTATTAGAGCTTGATATTACTGATAAAGGTATTTATCTAGAGATAAAAGATATTCATTTAGATTTTCAACTTAAGAAAAACTTCATAATTTATTACGTCAAGATAAAGTGAAATCTGCAGATGTAAAAAAAGTTAAAGAAGGACGCTGCAAATATGGTACTTTTTTTATTGGAGAAAATCACTCGAAAAAGTTCATTACATCATTGCTTGGTATGAATTGCAAATTTGTTTGATTCAAGTTCCTTTATATGACCAATCCAATCGATAGATCCAAATTCTGTAAGCAACTGGTCAAATTACGAAGCAAGATGAAACAACTCTTGACTCATTGAAGATTATTAATGCAACTTTAGCAGAGAAAGTTTTGCCATAAAAATCAGTTCTGTTGAAATCTCGAAAGAGTGTGCAAGTTGCGAGAGCGCTAGACTTGATAATTTCTTTTTTTCATAAACCCACTATACATATACCAAAAAGTTAAAATCTATTTTGCTCTTATATTGGTTTTAGTTACAAGTCATAGTAAAACAATGGAAAAAAAGACTTTATGTTATTAAGATTGTAACCAATATATAACCAATAATATAGAGAAAGATGACAAGTAGACCATGTGTAAAAGAACAACCTGATACCTTCAACAATAAAACTAACAAACAAGTTTATAAGGTTTGTGAAAGGCGCGTGCCTAAAATATTAGCTAGACCTTGATCAAAAGAGAAAGAATGCTAAGAAAAAACAAAGCAACTATCAGTTAAAAATTTTAACCAAAATCATTGATGATTAAAAGGAGAAAAAAATTGTTCTAGATTTTTACAACAATTTAGATATTGAGTTTATTTTTATCATATAGGAGACAGAAGAAAAAAAAGATTTGGAGTTATCAAAGGAAACCATATGAAAAGGAAGAGTGAAGATAAATGTCTTGAAATTAAAATTATAGAAAAAGCAGTTCAAATTTTGTTAGAGAAATAGAAATAAAAGAAAATAACGTGAAACTAATCTCCCTTTTTCAAAAAGATATTACTTTTTTTTAAAAAGATATTATTTTTTAAAATGATATTGTAGCTATTCCTTTTCTTTATAAATTAATTGATTTTCAAGATAAAGTTATAGAAATGTAAAACTTTGAAAAAATTTTGTCATAAAAAAGACTTTTTTAATTTGTTGTTATGAAGTGTAAGTAAATAAAAGCCTTTAATTAAAAAACATACATGATCAGTCATATATGCGGTTTTATTATATTTGTGAGTGTCATTGCATGCCAATGTGAATAATTTTTTTTAGATGCTTGTGTCACTGCAGGTCAACGTGAGTTTTTCCGGAGACTATTTATAATTATTTCAATAATATGAGTCAGGCGGTAAAGGGTAGTTTTTTGGAAAAAGTCAGGGGGCTAAAGATTGTTTTTCAAGAAAAAGAAAGTCAGGGAAGTTATATATTTGAGTTGTGTCTGGAAAATCTTTCATTTAGAACCTAGGTAAAACCCTGATGATGTTTAACAAATACCAAAAATAACTTAAAAAAATTGTTTTTTTTTTTGTTTTTTTTTTTTTTTTTAAACTCCAATACCTTTATGTAGAATTATTTTATCCAGAAATAATGAAGAGATATCATAAGATGTATTTTAAGCATAGATATTATCCATTCTCTGAAATTACCTTAATTTTTTTTTTTCATGCAGCATTCTTGACTGCCAACATGGAAATGACAGATATAATAGATTCATAGCATGACTCAGTTATTGGGGCTTTCCATTTTTTATCACAAATTTCATATTTATTTTCATCAAATAAGTGAAAAAAAATCTTATGGGATAAAAAAAGAAAACCAGTATCTACCATTTTATAAAAAAATTATTATTGTGTGGTCTTTCTAGAAAAA